CTTGTCAAATTAGACATGTTTGATTAAGATGTTGACTTTAGAAGCATACATGACTGAATAAGTCAGTCATGACTGATTAAGATTCTGACCTTAGAAGCAGGCTTGACTGAATCAATCAGACATGACTGATTAAGATGTTGACCTTAGAAGCAGGCTTGACTGAATCAATCAGACATGACTGATTAAGATGTTGACCTTAGAAGCATACAAGACTGAATAAGTCAGTCATGACTGATTAAGATGTTCACCTTAGAAGCAGGCACGACTGAATCAATCAGACATGACTGATTAAGATGTTGACCTTAGAAGCAGGCTTGACTGAATCAATCAGACATGACTGATTAAGATGTTGACCTTAGAAGCATACAAGACTGAATAAGTCAGTCATGACTGATTAAGATGTTCACCTTAGAAGCAGGCACGACTGAATCAATCAGACATGACTGATTAAGATGTTGACCTTAGAAGCAGGCTTGACTGAATCAATCAGACATGACAGATTAAGATGTTGACCTTAGAAGCAGGCTTAACTGAATCAATCAGACATGACTGATTAAGATGTTGACCTTAGAAGCAGGCTTGACTAAATCAATCAGACATGACTGATTAAGATGTTGACCTTAGAAGCAGGCTTGACTGAATCAATCAGACATGACTGATTAAGATGTTGACCTTAGAAGCAGGCTTGACTGAATCAATCAGACATGACTGATTAAGATGTTGACCTTAAAAGCAGGCTTGACTGAATCAATCAGACATGACAGATTAAGATGTTGACCTTAGAAGCAGGCTTAACTGAATCAATCAGACATGACTGATTAAGATGTTGACCTTAGAAGCAGGCTTGACTGAATCAATCAGACATGACTGATTAAGATGTTGACCTTAGAAGCAGGCTTAACTGAATCAATCAGACATGACTGATTAATATGTTGACCTTAGAAGCAGGCTTGACTGAATCAATCAGACATGACTGATTAAGATGTTGACCTTAGAAGCAGGCTTGACTGAATCAATCAGACATGACAGATTAAGATGTTGACCTTAGAAGCAGGCTTGACTGAATCAATCAGACATGACTGATTAAGATGTTGACCTTAGAAGCAGGCTTGACTGAATCAATCAGACATGACTGATTAAGATGTTGACCTTAAAAGCAGGCTTGACTGAATCAATCAGACATGACTGATTCACATCTTGACCTTTCAAGCAGACACGCCTTGTTAATATGTTTTCACATTACCCAACACTTGTTCTTTAACTGGAGTTTTACGACACGTTATGATAACACAAAAGTTCACCTGCAATTGAAATTACAATTAGAAATATTTTATTGTTCTTTGTCAACTTCTAATGTTAAAGTATAGTTGTGTATGCCATGACACTCACATTCTACCCCATCATTTGTTAAAATAAATAAAAAAATACAATCATGTGTTATTTACATTTCATGTACATTACACTGACGTGTTTAAGATGTTTTAAACGTGACATTGAGCTACCTGTTAATGTGTACGCATGTAAAAACAAACGCATCACAAGTGGTCACGATGATATCAAACCGTGAAAACTCATCAGAACAAAGAATCACGCCTCACCGTGTCCTATCTTTGAAAGCTACATTTGCACAGCACACATTCCTATTGACAGAGCCAGTTGTTTGTACTCTCACTAATGGATAGAGACGGTCCAGCAACAATTCTATCTTCCTAGCTGTGTGATTTGTTGATTGTACTACATTGTCCGACATTGTTATCTAGTGTTGATTGCGTTTGTTTTCACAACCCTAGCTCTCTACTGTTTGTCGTTATAAACTTTTACACAGTGTAGACCAACACACTGCCAAACATACATTTAGTGTTATTTCAAGTACAATTACATTTTAAACAGAACACACAAACCTACTCTGAATGATACATAATTAAGTTATGACAATTCGCATCACAATTTGACAGTGTTTAATTATTGACACCCAGTGTGAAATGACAACAATATCATCGTTTGTTTACAGCCAGTGACCTCCAAGTCGAGGTGCAACCAGTACACACACCGTTAGTAAACAACAAGGAAAATGTCAGACCTGTCCCCCAGCGCTGTGAGATCTTTAACATAACACACCCTATACGTTTCCTGGTACTAGCTCTAGAAACATTACGTTTCCGGGTACTAGCTCTAGAAACATTACATTTCCTGGTACTAGCTCTAGAAACATTACGTTTCCGGGTACTAGCTCTAGAAACATTACGTTTCCGGGTACTAGCTCTAGAAACATTACATTTCCTGGTACTAGCTCTAGAAACATTACGTTTCCGGGTACTAGCTCTAGAAACATTACGTTTCCTGGTACTAGCTCTAGAAACATTACGTTTCCTGGTACTAGCTCTAGAAACATTACGTTTCCTGGTACTAGCTCTAGAAACATTACATTTCCTGGTACTAGCTCTAGAAACATTACGTTTCCTGGTACTAGCTCTAGAAACATTACGTTTCCGGGTACTAGCTCTATAAACATTACGTTTCCTGGTACTAGCTCTAGAAACATTACGTTTCCTGGTACTAGCTCTAGAAACATTACGTTTCCTGGTACTAGCTCTAGAAACATTACGTTTCCTGGTACTAGCTCTAGAAACATTACATTTCCTGGTACTAGCCCTAGAAACATTACGTTTCCTGGTACTAGCTCTAGAAACATTACATTTCCTGGTACTAGCTCTAGAAACATTACATTTCTTACATTTCCTGGTACTAGGTCTAGAAACATTACATTTCCTGGTACTAGCTCTAGAAACATTACGTTTCCTGGTACTAACTCTAGAAACATTACGTTTCCTGGTACTAGCTCTAGAAACATTACGTTTCCTGGTACTAGCTCTAGAAACATTACGTTTCCTGGTAATAGCTCTAGAAACATTACATTTCCTGGTACTAGCTCTAGAAACATTACATTTCCTGATACTAGCTCTAGAAACATTACTGTTCCCGATACTAGTTCTAGAAACATTACATTTCCTGGTACTAGCTCTAGAAACATTACATTTCCTGATACTAGTTCTAGAAACATTACATTTCCTGATACTAGTTCTAGAAACATTTCCTGGTACTAGCTCTAGAAACATTACATTTCCTGGTACTAGCTCTAGAAACATTACATTTCATGGTACTAGCTCTAGAAACATTACATTTCCTGGTACTAGCTCTAGAAACATTACATTTCCTGGTACTAGCTCTAGAAACATTACATTTGCTGGTACTAGAACACTAGCTAAACTTCATTTTCTGATACTAGTACTAGAAAATCTACATTTCCTGATACTAGTACTAGGAGAACTACATTTCCTGTTATTGTACTGCAAAAACTACATTTCCTGATACTAGTACTAAAAAAGCTATATTTTCTGTTACTAGTACTAGAAAAAAGACATTTGCTAGCACTAGTGCTAAAAAATCTACATTTGCTGATATTAGTACTAGAAAAACTACGACATTTGGTATTACTCAGAAAACTAAGACATCTTCTTATATTAGTACTCGGAAAACTACATTTCTTGGTTGCTAGTACTAGGCAAAAAGTCCAATATATCTTGGCACTAGTGTTAGAGAAACTACACATTATATTTTTTCTTTGTCGTAGTGTTGTTGTTTATCGTGCATCCTCTTTCTTCACCCCCTTTCAGTTAGTAGTTGAACGATGCGTTCTTCAAGATTTGGTGGTTATCATTTTTGCTAAGCTAACAAATCTGGGTTTCATTTGTAAGATATATTTACACGTGTTTGTGTAACGTAATCCTAGCAATATGCCAACCCCCTTTTTATTACTTTTAAGCAAAGCTGTGTGTGTTTCCCCTGTTTTTGTGGTAAAGTTGTAGATGTCTAGCAGCTGTTTATGTAAAAGAAATGTAGATGTGAAGCACCTGTATTAAAGACCTGTATTTAAGACCTGTAGGGTACGTTCTCCATTTGATCAAGCTGAGTAAATAGCACGCGGTGCTTCTTGCACATTGTTGTCAATGTATTTTAAACGATAGGGGTTGCACCTGATATTCTCACAGCTATTTCATGTTTGTTTAATAATGGATCGGTCCTTAAGGCAATATCGTCACACGTCGTACAAGAAGCTAGACACCCCCCCCCCCCCCTCTTTTTCTAAAAGAACTTGTCAAAGTTTTGCCGTCATGTGAAGTAACTATTTTTTTTTCTTTTTTTGCTCAAAATGTGTGGTATATTTGTATTTTTCAACACCTTTTTGTCTGCTGTACATTTTTGTCCATGATTTCATTTATGGACGACCCCAAAATGGGCAAGCTCATTTATTTATGACCCCTAAGTCGGATTTAAGTAATGGAAGACCCCTTAAAACGGTTATTACAGTAGTGAAAGACCCCTAAAAACGGTTATTACAGTGATGGAAGACCCCCTTAAAACGTTGATTTCTTGTACGGACCACCACTAAATTAATAACTAATTATGGACGATCCCGAAATATTGACCTTACGGAAGACTGATGAATCCATTACATAATTTATGGAAGACCCTACATTTCATAAACGGAAATAATTGTCCCACAGTCATTTAATAAGCATGTTTACTAATAATTTTCACTTGATACATCCATTACTAATACAATGGTAGCTCTTTGAGACCAGTTCTAGTGTTTGGCTGTGATGTTAGATACCCACTGAAGTTTTTTTTTTGCCACTTACCTATGTTTTAGTAGATCTGTGTTTATTCCAGTACATCGCATTACCGGGTTATGCTTTGGGTTAAGGCTAGTAGTAGTAAATTAATGACTGGGTTATGTGGCTAAGCAAACATGACCCCGTTGTATGTAGATAACATGGATGTTTTATTATGGAAAAAAAAAAGATTGACTAATGTGCTTAACAGACACTTTAACTATATGTTCATATTTCTTCTTACACATCAATGTTAGCACCCAAATGCCAACTGTGAAGATACGTTAAACCCAAATTTATCAAATGCCAATAAATCTTCATCCACAGCTTTCATCAAACTCAGTACACAAATGCTGGATGTAAATATGCCATGTGTACATGCCGAGCTGCTACCTTCACAGTGTGTACAGGTACAGTGTGTTTCGTGTACAACAAACCAGATAACAATCATCGATCAGAACGGGTTGAAGAGGTAAGTCAGTGATTGTTTCCTATCATACATTTTTTTAACCCTGGTTCCATAACCTTTCGTGTTAGCTACTCACCAATTTTATCTCGACTTTTTCCTTTGATTTCTGTTTAAGTTATAATCCTTTACATGATAATGCAATATACTACAGTTCTCTCATCTTTTGCAACAATAAGTTGAAATGAAATGAAAGAAAAAAACAACTAAAACCAAAATTAATAAGAAAATCCTCTCCCTTGTGCGGCCGCCCCCCTCTATATAACTAGAACAAGCGCTAAAGCAGTTTACCTTGCTGACAATCAATCTAACCGGTAATTACCTGATCAACAGCCGCATGTGATGTTGACGTAACTTCAAAGCAGAAATTCAAGGTAGAAGAATTGATTCAACTTTGAGATAAGCGCTGGATTTCACATGAAAGAGGTTTATATTAAAGTTTTAATCCTAAAGCATTGTGTGTAAATAAATCAGGAGCTTTGACTAGTAAAAGAATAATCCACGCTCTCATAAAAATACAAGTTTTTCATCTTTACTTGATTAAATACATACAATTCAAGTTTGGTTTTAAAAATTGAAAAAGGCTACTACTAATTGACAACATAGGTGGGAAATAATTAACCTGTTTTTGCCGACTCAACACTATCCTACCTACTTTTAGTGAACACACAGGTGGAGTAGAGTTAATCTGTATTCCACCGTGCCATCCCTCTGTTCCACATGGCCTAACATGTTTTGGTTAAACTTATGTGACAACTAAAACGTTACTTTTGTATTTGATAAAACTTAATGATTTTATGAGATTTTAAACTTCGTGTGTGTGCTAAAACTTACGTATTTAATTACAGACTAAATTTATCAATTTTTTTTTCTTTAAAAAAAAAACAAACTTTTCATTAAAAGTGTGTGACCTATGCAAGCGTAGTCCTATAGTTACCGGCGGCATAGCTTATTCTTCCCTCCTCCTCTCCCCAAACTCAGCCCCCCCCCCCCATCCGCGTATCTTATTCCCCGCCCCTCCTCACCCTATTCCCCCCCCCCCCCCCCCGTCCCCTCTCCCCTCTCTCCCTATCTCATCCCCCGACCCTATCTCAACCTCCTCCTCCAGCTTCACCACTAATGGTCGACCAATTTACATGCACTGTTACCAGCAGAGATTACCTTGACCTTCTCAAAAACTTTTCCAAAAAAACATTTTCTTTTTTTTTTCTCTCTCTGGCAAAGCACGTCAGTCCTAATACAAAAAATGACATGACAAAAAAAAAACCCCACAAAAATACCCCTCACTTTTTCTTATTTTACGTTGAAGTCAAGCTCACGCCAAACTATCCCGATGCTCTTTTATTTTAAATGACCTGTCGTTTCGCATAATTGTTGTGGAAGGTGATTCCTATTCTGGATGACTTTGAACGTTAAGATTATGTTAGTCTCACCCACACATCCCCCCGCCCCCGGTCTCCGTACGCTTGAAGCTATTGATGAGGCAGGGCTTATGACAAGCGGACGGATATAAATAGCTCACGTAGTGACGTCACGTGCTCTGTGGATGTGAGGAGAAGTGACGTGAGATGATGAAGGCGATGAGAGGAGACAATAGTGGGAACTCGGGCAGTGTTTCTCGAAAGGGGTGGGGGGGGGGGGAAGGGAAGGATCAGCAGGGAGGATATCCGTGTTAACCTCCTCAATACGACTAAAGTTACCCACCCCCCCCCCCATCAACGATGCAACAAAAGGTTACCTTCCCCCTTCATCAATACGACTAATGTTGACCCCCATCAATACTACTAAAGTTGACCCCCATCAATATGACAAGTTGACCGCCATCAATACGACTAAACTTGACCCCCACCAATACGACAACAAGTTGACCCCCATCAATACGACTAAAGTTGACCCCCATCAATACGACCAAAGTCCCCCCCCCCCCATCAAAACGACAACAAGTTGACCCCCATCAATACGACCAAAGTCGCCCCCCATCAAAACGACAACAAGTTGACCCCATCAATACGACTAACGTTGACCCCCACCTAAACGACAACAAGTTGACCCCATCAATACGACAACACGTTGACCCTATCAATACAACTATAGTCGCCCCCCATCAATACTAAAGTTGACCCCCATCGATACAATGTCAGAGGGAACGACAGAAGCCGCCAAGTGTTAATGAAACTGCCAGCTGTTAACGTCCCGTCTCCACAAGTGCAGCATCTGTTTCGTTCACCTCCCTCCCACCCCCCACATTCTATCCACCGTCCAACCCTCTGTAAGAGTATCTCTCTCACCCGAGACCTTCTTATCCCTCTCCTCCTACACCCACATCCCCCACCCTTTTTTTTAGAGTATATGTATTTCATCCGATTCCCTCTACTCCACCTACACCTCATCCCTCTGTTAGGGTCTATCTATTTCATCCGATTCCCTCTACTCCACCCACACCTCATCCTTCTGTTAAGGTCTATCTCATCTATTTCATCCGATTCCCTCTATTCCACCCACACCTCATCCTTCTGTTAAAGTGTATCTCTTTCATCTGGTTCACACTACTCCACCTACACCCAACCCCCTGCTAGGGTCTATCTATTTCATCAGATTCCCTCTACTCCACCTACACCCCCAACCCTCTGTTAGTGTCTATTACATCCGGTTCCCCAAGAAATTCTGTTACTATCAATCTGATTTCGTACTAAACCGTTTCAAACCATACTGGTTTCTACGCATGCCGGACTGTGTTCGCATGCGTGTGTGTGTGTGAGTGTGTGTGTGTGGGGGGGGGGGGGGTGAAGGGAAAGGGAGGGTTTATGGGCGAGCAATTAATACGTCAAGATTAACTGCTGGCCACAAAGTAACGCGTCCTTGGAAATTTTCCCTCGCTGTATTGGTAGGACTGAGAACAGATGAATGTGAATAGCAGTTGTGGACGAATCTAATCGTTATAGTTTCTCATTGTTTTGTAATCGTTATAGGATCGTTGTTTTCTAATCGTTTTAGTTTCGTTGTTTTCTAATCGTTATAGTTTCGTTGTTTTATAATCGTTATAGTTTTTCAGTATTTTCTAATTGTTATAGTTTCGTTATTTTCTAATCGTTATAGTTTTTCAGTGTTTTCTAATCGTTATAGTTTTTCCATTGTTTTCCAATCGTTATAGTTTTTCAGTGTTTTCTAATCGTTATAGTTTTTCAGTGTTTTCTAATCGTTATAGTTTTTCCATTGTTTTCCAATCGTTATAGTTTCGTTGTTTTATAATCGTTATAGTTTCGTTGTTTTCTAATCGTTATAGTTTCGTTATTTTCTAATCCTTATAGTTTCGTTATTTTCTAATCCTTATAGTTTTTCATTGTTTTGCAATAGTTATAATTTTTCGTTGCTTTCTAATCCTTATAGTTTTTCATTGTTTTCTAATCGTTATAGTTTCGTTGTTTTCTAATCGTTATAGTTTCGTTATTTTCTAATCCTTATAGTTTCGTTATTTTCTAATCCTTATAGTTTTTCATTTTTTTCTAATCCTTATAGTTTTTCGTTGTTTTCAAATCGTTATTGTTTCGTTGTTTTCTAATCGTTATAGTTTGTTTTCTAATCGTTATATTTTAGTTGTTTTCTAATCGTTATAGTTTCGTTGTTTTCTAATCTAATCTCTCATTTATAGCGGGTAGGGAGGTTTGGTTACTAGATCACTTTCTGATCTAACAGCTCTTCATCATAGCATCTATTTGCATCTGTTGCATATTCCAAAACGAACACTTAGCAAATACAAAGCATTGATGTAAGAGATTTTTAGTAGGCCTATATTAGTTCAAATATTGAAATTTTCTTGTTGTCATAAACATTCTAAGACGTTTCGTAATTAACTAATTAGCAATTAAAGTGTGGCTTGTGTTCATGTACAAATATTCGTTCAAAGGAATTAAACACCGGTATAAGGCGGGGGGGTGGGGGGGGGGGTATGATTTTAGAAACAAATTGTATTACAGAAATATTTGTAGTAAAGTAATCGATTTGTGTTAAGAATATTTAAGTCTCTTTTACTTTGTCAGCATTTGTTAACCAGCTGGCTATTGCCTAATTCACTCCAGCCGTTCTTGATTACATCACGCAATCAATCAATCACTTTCTTCTTTATCGCCCGCCATCATATCGTAAGAACCGATTTTCTATTTATTTTCTGGCGGCGAACGATTAAAGTAAATTAGAATCATTAGCCTGTGGGTTTAGGTGCCAACATTAGAAGGGCCAACAGTTTTTTTTTCTACTTTACATCATTTGTAGCTACGCACTTGGGCTTTTTATTTTTTATTCCCAGGAAATTCGGCCGATATATATATATATATATATATATATATATATATATATATATATATATATATATATATATATATATATATATATATATATATATATATATATATATGTATACGTATACATATATATGTATACATATATATATATATATATATATATATATATATATATATATATATATATATATATATATATATATATATATATATAAATATAAAATATTGATATTTTTATTTATTTTAGGATGCAAGTGGGTCTGTGATTGAATTACGAGGTTGGGATGGGGACTTAAGTTCCGCAGTGGGGTGAGCCTTGGGTCGGAAAATATTTACGTGCGTGCTTTTCTGGCACTATCTGAACTATCTTGCTTACAGCTCACGTGCATGCTAGAGAATAAATGTTTTATTTAAAACATTTTAATTTACAGTTTGATAGACTTTGAAAAAAATTAAGTACAATTATAATCCCAGTAGTCAGTACAACTAGTCGATGCTCTCAAACAACACCAGTGAACATAGTTTTTTAACACCATTAGTCATAATGTTGATCTACCAGTTGACAATGACAGAACACCAGTTGAAATTGTTTACCATGAATTGCATGTGCAATAACATAATTTAGCACCTTGTTTTACCTCGCTGTAACATTATTTAGCCCCGAGTTATAGAACGCTATAACATAAATTAGCCCCGAGTTATAAAACG